TGGCGCAGTGCGGTAACTCGCACAAAACAAGGAGGAGGCTCAAGAGGGGGTGGAGGCAGTCAGTCATTGAAAAGGGAGTGGCAAGGAAGGGGCTTTGTGCTGGTTTGTCTGCGCAGTGCAGGTGCTGACAGGATTTGTTAGCCTTTCGAAGACGCCAAATTCCGCTATTCAGATGGCTTGGAACTGTACACACCTGCTGCAATTACATCACATGGAAATCTCGAGATATTTGCATGGAATGTTTGCGTGCTCAAGCCACATCTGGCAGCCATGATGCTGCAAGCATTTGAGCTCATGTATATCTTAAGCGTTGTAAATAGTATGGTCAGTGTTGTCTTCATGATTGCACCAACCGTGGAGCTGAAGACGCTCACTGCGCCTACACGTTGACAAAGATTATGTTGAGTGGTCAGCATGATGAGTGCTCAGGCTTTCTGTAAATGATGAGCACAGTGCGGATCGGATCCAAGAGATGCTCTATCGTTGCTTTGTGCTGTTGATTTGATGCTTCGTCAGCGGCAGACCTTAACAACGACAGTGTGTAGTTTTGGCCCGCCACACACTACACCACTTCGCAATAGCTGGGGAATCTCCAAGCAATGAAGAGCAACTTCAATGAGCTGCAGAATTCCGAGCATTGTTCCGGAATATGACAGTAGCTGAGCAACTTGCAAAGATTCTTAACATTCGTTCTGGATACTGGCTGTAGACATCTGGCGGCTAGTTCAAAAGGCAAAGATCAACGAGCCAATGGTATAGTAGCCTTGAGAAAGCTCATCTTAAGAGGGTAAAGAAGCTGAAAAACAAGCGAAAAGCAGCAAAGCAGACTGCGCAGCCACAGAGAAGCTGAAGCAGCCGCGCGAAATCTGAAATTCTGATAGCCAGGTGATAGCGCTGATTTTTCATACATCGCGACACAAGGAGAAGCAAGACCACACCTTTTCATCGAAAAGCCCAAGCTTCCCTTCCTGTTCTGGCAGCCTCCTTGTCATCCTTGATGGCATCTGTCGCATACTTTAGCGGGACACCTAGGCTTCAGAACAATCTAATCCTTACTTTCTGCCGCTGGCAGCATGTGTAGCGGAGGTGCGCGCCATGCACTGCACATGTCCAACATATGTCTAAATGGCATTTTCCATGCAAGCGGGCAAGGGGCCAAGCTCACCAATCGCAACCTTACAGAGCTCTCTGTCACCTCGCAGTGCATCGGAGAACTCCTTGGTGCCAGAGTCATTGAACAAGCAGGCAAAACCGTCCAGACGAAAGAGCAGCCGCAGGGTGCTGTATGTTTTTGCTCCAAGCGGCGGGGAAAAGAGCACTCCGGCCTGTCAGAATCAGGATCAAGGATCTGCTCGCTGCTCGCTGCACAGCTAGGACCTTCTAGACGCTATCCGAATCCTGCGTCCTGCCTGGCTGCGACAAGAAGGCCAGGGCGTCTTTGCGCACCAACGGATTGACCATCCTTGGAACTGAGAGATTCAACCATGGGCGTGTCACTTGAGCAACAACCCTCCTGCTAGCTTCCCTGGCATTTTCTGGGCAAGGTGCTTGCAACTCGTGAGTCGTGCAAGAACCAATACCTCGTTCCTTGGCCGTGATTACAAAAGGCACGATGTGCACCGTTGTATGGGGACGATGGGCAGGGAGCTGCGCACTAATGCTGACTGCGTTGTGACTGCAGATGTGTTGACCGCAGCACTTCGCAGCAGTACAGAGCTTGAGCGTGCAAAAGCATGCTTGAACTCCACAAGACATGAGAAGGAGGATGACCTGCTCCGGCACTAATTCAATCAAGAAGCGAGCCATCTCCACCGCCTATGCACCAATCAAGGAATTCCTCGTACCTGACAGAACCACCCTGGCAGTCTGAAGCAATGTCTCAGTCATCTCATGAGCACTTCCTGCTAAACCCTCTACACCCTACAGTAGGTATAATGTCACAGCCAGGCTTGCTGGATGGCGCCGTCAGTGTTTCTGTCTATCACCTCAGACTCATGGATCAGGATTTATCCGTCCCAGCACAATTTTCCTATAGCTTAGAACAAGGTGAATGGTCAGTGTGCTTATGACAAGTCCTGCCTTCATCAGCCCTTCAACCGCCGCATTGGTCCACCTGCTCACGCTTGCAATGTTGACAGAGAATAACCATTCGCATCAACAGGCAGTTTTCAGCACATTCCGCGAAGCCGCTACTCACGATAGCCACTTTACTGCATTGCATTGCATTGCATTGCACTGCGCTGGACTGCACTGCATTGCATTGCATTGCAACAGACAAGCACTGGATTGCATCTGGGCATATCTTGTGGGCATGCTGCCTCTTCTGGTCCAGCCGACGAAGAAGCTGTATGAAGACTTCCCGACCTGCAAGTGGGTGGCTAAGTGGCTAGACACATTTTTTCCAGCGCTCTGAGAAAATTCAGTAGGCGGGCCAAGGGGCTTAGGTAGCCCGTCTGCTCCACATCTGCCTTGCGGAAAATTGCCTTTCAAATCGGTGAGTTTGTAAGCTGAGAGCTCCATGGCTATTCCGCAAGACAAACCTCAAGAAAACTTCGCGGCGCTTTCCATGCAAATCTGCACCAGTTCTGACATACTGTTGATGGATGAAATCTTGCACCACCTAGGGGCCCTGAACTACTGTAGTTCCTAGGACTTGAGGGACTTAAGGTGGTGCAAGATTTCCTCCATCAACAGTAGCAACTGCTGTCACACTTGCGGCACTCGCCTTGATCAGGTTCACATCAGATGCATTCAGAGAGGCACGGCTTGGCATATCTACTCAAATCACACAAGATGTGCTTCGCATGCTTCTTTGCTTGTGACAGTGGGGGGGGGTTCAGTGAAGCATATCTGCTGAGCGTACTAGTCAGATTGTCACTGCTGGCTCAGAGGTCGCTCCGCCTCTTTCGTTCCTTCCGCACGTCATTCATCAGGTTGCATTGATGGCTGCAAGCAGCTGCAATTTCGAACCAAACTGCTGAGCAACGGACAGAGCTGCATGTTTTGTGGGTTTTTGCTGCTAGGCTCGGTTGCAATGTGCTTTTTCCCAGTTCCAAGCCATTTGAGTTTTCCTTGCACGCTAGCGTACCTGCACACATGATGCCATTGCACAACTTGGACGACCTGAGCAATCTGCTGGATGGGTGCTAAGCAAACACTGTGTGCCGGTCAAGCAGGTGTGTTGACGCCTGTACGTTTATCGAAGCATGTCAAACACCTACGGAACATTACAGAGCTATCATGGCTTGCGTTGGTCAGCCCGCCTGGTCAATGGCCACAATGCGGCGCACGACCACAGACCAGTTGACTCTGCATTTTTGGGAGCTTCCGAGCAAGTAGTGTTCATTGGTAGCAGCGCGCCGCGTCCTGAGCTACAACAGGCTCCGAGACTTGCGCTCGAAAGTGCTGCTTGCTCGTCTGAACATGAAGGATCTTCTATCTTTCCTCATTTGAGCTCACTGGTCTCCCCGAAATTGCATACTCCTTTTATGACCTCACCAATGTTCCCAGACCACATAGTAATATCCACACAACAAACCCAGAATCAAACCTGCTTCATGTGGTTCGGCCGCCTCTCTGGCCTCTGACTGCAACATGTACGGCACCTGGCTAGCTTACGGCAAGATGCCGTACTCTGCGAGTGAACTCTGCAAGTGATGCCACCGTCGTAGACTCGCAAGGGCTAGGTGAAGAAGAAGCGGTGGCTTTAAGCCACGGAAGCTGCCATGGGCTGTCCTTATCTGAAACAACAAGGAGTGGCAATCAGCCGTCGTCTCCAGAATCTTGCGCTAGAAAGGGCGCTGGCAATAGAACTGGTCTGCACATGACTGGCAGATTAATAGTAGCAGCCAAAGCAGCAAAAACTATCATGGTTGCTGCAGTTTGTTGGCAAGTTAGTGAGAGTAACAACGGTTACACAAGCTACCGAAATCCACCAAAAAAATCTGGAATGATCGTCCAACTTTGCTTGTTTTACAGGCTTGACCGCGTATATCATGTATGTAGATTAATTCTTGGTCTCGTGTCCCGGCTCCTAGCATGCGGCTCGGCTTTTCATCAGTTTGCGCATGCTCGAGCACGAAGGGTGAGGAGGATATTCGATATGTAATATGAAGCCCAGTATGGTGTGCTGACATGCGCTGACGCAAAGCTCTCCTCATCCTTGCTTTGTGCTAGGGAGCCGCTGGCCACCTATGCCTACGTGAAACTTTTCTAGGAATGACAATAGGCAGCCAACGCATGTGAAACCTACCGACCTACTGTTCACACAAGTCATCTCATCTGCTGATTCCGCTGTCAGCATCTGTCAGCATTGAGGCTCTGCTGTGGAATTTCACCTGCTGGTCTTCTGGTCTTCACCAGCCAGGCACGAAGAATTCAGATCCTCTCACCTGATTGTAACTGGTTTTTGTCGTAGAAGTTGTCCATCATGGTGCAGTTGATATCTTCCGGCCTCAACTGCACAAGTTCGGCGCTGTTCCCCAGGCCTTACTGCTTGCAGGAGCTAAGGGCTGGACATTAGAGCCCTATCCAGCTTCCTCATGCCGTGCTGCGCCACCCCCAACCTGGATCATGGCAGCTGCAGCTAGCATGCCCTGTGGTTGGCGAAACTTGATTAAGTGTGAGAGCTGCAGGCACCAGCTTGCGAAGGACATGGAAGAATCTTTTCCCACGCCTCGCCGCATCTCACATCCTGATCTCTGTCGCTACCACACAAAGACGCCTTGGGTGCCTGTGTGAGCCAGCAAGACATGCCAGCTGCGAATCTGCAAAGTCCTCCCAAAACTCTAGTTTACTGTTTGTTATTGTAGAAGCTGGCATCGCCCAGCTGCAAGACTCATGCTGCAACTTGCTCAATGTGCCTTGGGTCGCCCAAGGATTTTCCTCAGACGTTCGTGACACAAGCCACCAGCCCAAACCCATTCAATACCTGGCTGCAGGACACGAATATGCAATGCTCCATGAATGAATGCCTTTAGCAATGTCAGCGGCCACTCGCCTCAGAAGGGAATCGCGGGACCCAAGCTCCAGGAGTGCTCAAGCTCTGCCATGGGAGGCAATTCCTCAGACAAGTGGCTGAGGCACTGGGCAGCATGGTGAATGGTGAGTGCGGCTTCACGGAAACAAGTAGTTTGCAGCGTGCAAGCCCAGTCTCCCATGCGTCAAAGTTGATCTTGGTCGCCTCCTACAGGGGACAGCACAGCATTGGCAGATCTGCTAACTTGTCGTTACAGAGCGCTCAGATAATCCTTCGATATCATGACACCTGCTGTCGAGCCCGGAAGGCCAGGCACATGCATGCAGCTCGCAGAAGTCCTGGCAGATCTCCGCTCCACCGCACAGCTGCCCAACTCCGGCAACGTAGTCGCCAGTGACCACATCCTAATGTTGCTGGCTTCAACATGTCTTGCAGCTCACTGCTTTCATGTGGTGCGTGCCAGGGCAGGAGTCTGTGCATGACAAAAGGGGTAAGCTTGTAGGAGGTTTACTACAAAAACTTTGCCAAGCCTGCGCGACCAATCCGGTAATGGCAATCATCGCAAGACGGCCATTGTTCAACTCCTGAAAGGGCATCAAGCAGTCAGCCACTGCTCGATCTTGACCCTGCTTGAACTGCCTGAACTTGCCCGCGGAAAATTAAGCTTGGGAGCTACTACGATTGCCCGCATGTTCTCTCTCACAATACGGAATCAGGGGGGCCCAGGAACTTCCCGGGCTAACGTGCCTGGCACTGGACATCCTGCCACCTGTTCCAGATCTTGGAGTCGTAGTCTTCAACGATGATGCCCTGCAATCAGGCAAAGCTACCACCAGTTGCACCAGTCTTGCACTCCCCTCCTTCCATCCAAGGACGTCCCAAGGACGGTCTTCAGGTGGCTTGCAGACGTAGGTGGTGAGCCATTCGAGGCACATGATGGTGAACACGACCTCAACAGATAACCGGTCCAGGCTTCGAGGCTACGGGAGCACTGCAGGAAAGCTTGAAAGCTTCTTCAAAAATACCCCCAATCCCAAATGACCGGATCCGCAGAGTCCAAGCGTGCTATGAAGCTGGCCTGCCACATTCCTCCCATCGGCAGCCTGGAAGTTGAAGCTTGTTAAAAACCATGCAATGGGCTAAACATTGCTAGAGGGTGTGTTCCACTCTGGATTGGAAAATTATGAGCTCCAGCCAGCAGGGGGCCTTCACAGCACAAGCACAAACCCAATTTTGTCTGACAACCTTGTGGCCTGCATCCAACGGTACCAATTTGAGATTGACCAGCAGACACCATCTCATGGATAATTCATTTCTGGTGCTCGCTGCCCTTTCCCCATGTCACAGAATCTCAAAGCCAGTTGTCTTCGGTTCCTTGGTCTATTGCTGCAGGGAAGCTGGGTCACGTTCACCAGTGGGTCGTCGCTCATTCGCGAACCGCTGGCATAGTCACCTGCATTCTTGGGTTATGATTGCATTTGCGCAGTGGTGTTCTGCGAGGTCAAAGCTTGATGTGAACCAAGGTGGAGCCAAACTCGGAACACAACCTTGCAGCCTTCTGCCTGAAGAAAAAGCTTAAATTTCCAGCACTTCCAAACTCAACAAGTCATGACTCAAATCACACTCCATGTCTCCAAACAAAGATGCGAACTCTAGCCTTCAGGATCTTTGCATCTCAATGCTACAGGACACTTTAGGATGTCGCGTTATGATGGTGGCAATGGGTAGGTACTTCTAGGCGCCAAAGTTATGGAGGAAGCACATGAGCATTCTACATGTGAGGTTGAAGTATAGGCCCCTGAGGCCCTAAGGTACCCATAGACTGTATAGATCTGTGTAGGGTATGTGCCAGGTATGAAGTCTCCAGGATTCAGCGTCCATATCAGGAGCGCATACTTCTACTCTTAGATTACAGGACTGAACTATTCGGAGGCTTGCATGATCGAGCTGCCCAGGAGGTGATAGCCCGCAGCCACGTGGAACCAGTGCAGCACAGCGAGCCTATGATGCAGAGCATGGGCGAGATTCAGGTTTTTGGTGTCCCTGCAAAGAAGCGTCCTACAAGCACCACGATTGGGGGATGTGCGCACCTGATGAGCCATGTCAACAATGAATTGTTGCAGACCAGGCGCATTGCAACACGGCCATGCTTGAGCTCAATGGCCCGCAGCCTCATGGGCACGAGACAGCTGTGCCAGCATGCCCAGAGCAGGCAGTGTCTCCACTTCAGCTAGGTGTCTGCAAGAGCTCCTTCTCCGTGCTCCTGGTGCTGATGCCTCGCAGGCGCAGCGTGCCCTAGCGCTTCAGTGGTATGAGGATGTCTGAGTCTACGAATCCTCTTGCCTGCAGGGTCCCAGAAGCTGTTGGGGAAGGGGCCGCCGGTTCCGGCGATCAGCTCCTGGACAGGCTGTTGGGGCCATTGTTGGTGGATCATAGACTCAGTCCATCGACTCATGATGCCAGTCGGCATTCTCAATGCCCGCCTGTGCAGGAGTCAGGGCCCTCAACGGAGAATCCGTGTAGAGGGACCTAATCAATGCGCGAGTTGGCTCAGGCTGCAGAGCAAGCTGGTTTTTGTTTAGTCGATTGCTTGTCTATCTTGTCTTATTAGTGCGAGGTCCCTGCCTCAGGTTGTTTTTGTTGCTGCTGCTTATGACATCTTATTACTGTCTTGCCAATGCTGCTTCTACTAGTGCTACGACATCGCCGACGCCGATTACCACCGACCAACCACCACCGCCGCCGCCATCACCACCGTTCAACACCCTTTTCTGACGGCCTCTGCAGTCTCAAACATGTACAGCGCAGTGCAAGGCAGACAAACCTGAATTTGCGCCCAGAAGCCAGTCACCCCACGCAGTCCCCGTGAGGCCATTCCTGATGCCAAAGCCCGCTGCAATTTTTAGAGGCCCCTAGCAGCGCTAGCTCAAAAAGAGCTCGCCGACAGCACTTGCATGATTCTGGCCAACATTCTTGCATCTTCAGAGGACTCTTTTGTGTGGGCACACCACATGCTGGATCCCGCTGCAGTGAAGGCACTGGAAGAACATGCCAATGATGGCCATCATTGCCAGTCGACCATTGGCAATCTCCTTAGGCCCGTCGTTATGTGACAGCTAGCAGTATGGCAGCACCAGGCAACAAATCCCTACTGCAAGCAGCCCTGCATTTGAAGCAAGACTGCAATAAGCCAAGTCGCCGCAGAAAGTTTCTTCTCCTTGCCGCCCGCCGGCGACTGGATGAAGCCGTTGGGAATTCCCAGGTATCTTGGATGCAGCACAGAATCCCTACGAAAATCAACAGTGGACTGGACCGCTACAGGGTGTGATTTTGTGCAAGAGACACTTCCTAAAACCAGGTCTGAGGGGTGTCGCGCTGGACGTGATGTCAAGCTTGCTGCAAGCTTGAGCCAGGTGTCACGAATGCTTTAAAAGTAGTTGAGCACTCAGAGAAATAGAATGAAAGAGTGAGAAAGCTTATCGATTCAAAAGGCAATTCGAGCAAACTCTTCAAGTTTGCAGCCTAAGATTGGTGAGCTGGATCCGGCTATCAGGTTGTATGCCGCAAAGCAAATGAGAATAGAGTAGGTCAATCTTGCGTCCAAGGCTCCCTGCATTCTCGAAGTCACCAGGGGCCCTCTTGGGATCATCGACATACCTGCAAGCCCGAGCATGCTGCATTTATCAAATTTCAATGCTCTGCTGCTTGAGTGCCGCCGTTCTGTACGATACGAAGGGCTACAGAATACACAAACCATGCCAAAACTTACTCTACCTTTGCGGGCTTACAATAGATATGATCTGGAAACGAGCGACTGGAAAAGCTCGACAGAGCCAGCGAATGCCACCATCTGTGCCCAGCCGGACAGAGGCACCTCTGCATGAACAACCTAAAGCTGTGTTGCTTGCAATCACATGGCTCTGGCAGCACTATCAATGCCTTGCTGAACGCTGCGAAGCCGGTCGGCACATCGGTGAACCTTTGGATGTTTTAGATCTGGCTGGGAAGCTGGATGCATGAACAATGGAGCCATGAAGGCATGAGCGGAACAAAGGTATACCAAGGTAGAAAGGCTGGAGGGGACCACTGATATGCTTCATTACAACTTTGTCAACATGACCTTTCTGGCCGAGTGGCTTGAGGCCCAAGGAAGGGGAGAGGTCGCCAGGCCAGCGGTAGTACTCTGGAACGATATATCCCAGGCATGCCAGCCTGGACATCAGGAGCAGATATGAAGAGCACCGTGCACCAGTGCCGGATGCTTTGAACACTAAAGTCCTTGCTCATCATCTATAGGGTCGTGAAATACCGACAGTCCGCGCAGGGGTGCAGGAATACTTGCGCGCACTTCCATGTGGTAGTTTCCCTAAATTACTGTTCCCAAAATGGGGGAAAATGATGTAGGGCCCCGTATTATAATGGGAACCCAAATATAGGACCCCGTATTATAGGGAATTTAGACCAATCCCCATGTGTTCAAGCCAGGCGCATGGCCACTCGTCCGTGCTTCAGCTCAACATAACGCCGACGACGGAAGGAGGCAGCATCGCCGCCCTCAAGCAGCAGATCAAGATTCCGAGGTTGAAAAGCGTTGCAGACGATCACCAGCGAAACTAATCCATTTTCCAGATTCTTTGCAACCAAGGATGTCTTTGCCTCGTAGACTGTGATAGGATTGCAGTTTTCTGGCGCCCGTCCCCTGATGACAGCATCCCAGCGCCTAGCTTCATGCAACCCAGCAGTCCCGTCCTTGGTAAATCCGAGCGGGTCCCAGAAGCCCGCAGGAGGCTGCACCTGAAGGTCCAAACATCATGCCAAATCTCGCGTCAAAACCCTGATCTTCAACGTGCAGTACTGCTTGACCAATCTTGCTGTAGCAACGACTTCCACTAATGCTCACAGATCAACAAGGATCAGCGGTTCAAAGTTACATGCTCCGGAGCATAATGGAGGGGACCATGTCTTTTTACCAGGCTCGGGACTTGATACCCTTATATGAGCCATATGAAGGGCTGACTCCCTTCCCCTAATACACCATCCTACAATCAGAGATTAGGACGGCAGTACAAATCTTTTGTACCTCCTGCAATTGGTGTCCAATGCTTGGTGCACCTACTGACAAAATCTAGTACTATCTTTTTGTGCTGCACTTCACTTGGGCCTTGAATCTCGTCGTCCAACAAATTGGCATTCGGATTAAAGCCCTTCTGACTTGTGACCAACATTAGACATCTTTGATCGCATCAAAGCAGTTGCTTTTCAATTTGGCCCGGATTGTTGCTGCAGCTGGTATACTTCTGAAAGATGCTTGAACGCACGCTTCGGAATGCTCGTGTCTGCCAAAGAATGCACCCAAAGCATGCCAATCCAAAAAGTACGCGCATTTAAAGATATGGAACTTTAGTCAGTCGCTCATCTGCAATCATGTCGCGCCGAGCTCGTTCTCGAACGCACTGGAGCCTGTGTACCTTAATCCAAACACAATAGGTGGGCCTAGAAGGATTGTGCATAACATAACAGAATGGGTCGGAGAAGTGGCAATATCAAAACAGAGGAACATCTCTAAAAACAGAGTGTAGCATCTGACCCTGAGTTTAGAAACCGCATGCTACCATTGCAAAGAGAGCGACAGAGCCAGAATAGTGGAAACTGCATCCAAACCATGGCTAGGTGCTCTACCAGTAGAAATTGTCCTAACATAGGAGTGGGTAGCTCGCTCGACGTCCACATTCTGTGTGCAAGGTGGGAGTTTGAAAGCATCTGCCAAGCCGCGCCAACTGTGTCTTACATGCCCAAAACTCTCAAACAACTCCCACGAAGTTGCGCTGGCAACAACCCAAGCGTTGCCAACTGTTCAGAACTATGCCTTGTCTTGTTCTATTGTCATCCCATAGCCAGAAGTCCAGATACGCCACCCTAAATGGCAATGGCTTGTTTGGCGGATTGTGTCCGATGTTTTCAATGTTTCACATCTGTGTCCCTTTGGCCCATGCTTGTAAAGCATGTAAATTTCTAGTTGAAGCACGACGATCCTGCACAGTTGTTTTGACAGCGAGCTCTAATCTGCCTGTCTCATGCCGCAATTTGCGCGTGGGCGGTCCCGCGAATTCATTCATATATGCTTGTTCTTTACACCGGTTTGGGAAGAGCACATCAGGAATGTGGTCATGAGTCCAAAGCATTCGCGTTGTCCATAGCCAGGCCACAAATTTAGTTTCTCGCTCAGACCGCGATAGGTTTGCGGAGGCCTGTTCTCCAATGCCCTATCAAACTTGCCCTCCATAGACGCGCCAAACGCGCAGGGCATCTGGCTCCAGGGCTACTTATGACCAGGCCTCTGCTACTTGCTTCTGCCATGCGGTTGAGCATTGTTTCTCTGTAGTGAGTTGGCCTTCACTTTTTTTCGATATCGGGATGATTTGTTAATTGCAGCTCCAAGGTACAGGCCGTACGGGGTGCCGAAGAGGCCGTTCTGGACCCAAAGGCCAACAATGGCCATCATGGCCTCAGCATACCGCCAAGCACCCGTAGACAAAAAGATGGCCTGTGAGGGCCAAGAAATGAGGCAACTCCGCAGAGAAGAAGGATTAGGATCTTGCAATTGCTGCTGACCACCCTCCAGATTCTGCTTACTGCAGAAAAAGACTTGGTGACAAAGGGCACATAGGCTGAATTGCTGCAAAGGGCAAGTCGGCCGTTGGCCAGCTCAGAGTTCCGTCCTCGCGTGCGGGCCTGGAGACAGCAACGCAGCGTGACCTCTGAACTCTCTGTTTCCAAGTCAAGTCTGAGGATGTGAGGCTCTGGGACCTAAGAACCAGCCCAACTCCTACCTGCTTCCCAACCCGCCATCAGAAAAGGAGGAAGATTTTAAGTCGTTGACATCAAGCTCACTTGATTCATTGATGTCAAGGTGCTGACTAGCTGGAACCAACTTTGGGCTCACTTTTTCCTGCAACATTTGTCAAACTTGTCTTTGGCACCTCCTCATCTGCAATAGGTTCGGCAGTAATCCCCAGGACCATGTTGCCATATCCCAGCCTTGGTAGCAGCACAGAAACAAGCTGCTGGACTTTGCATGCTCGATTGCTTGGCTAGGAACTTGCCCTTGCCATAGTTGCCAGGATCGGCCGGGTCCACCGGCTGGTTGACACAGAGCCTCGAATGTGCAGACAGTCAGTTCCTCAGTGGTGGAAAAGAATCCTGGAGGACCCGCTTTGGAGGTACCAAAAACATGGAGCTCGACGATAAGGTCCACCTCCTTCTGCCGTCTGCGGCCAGGCAGCTCGTAGCAGCCGCACAAGGCAACCCACTGAAGCCAGCCCTCAGCGGGCACCTCCGGACATTTGCACTGAATATTTCACGGGCTCAATGCCATGAATCGCGCAAGGTTGCTGACACAGATGTGTGAAGCACCTTGGTAATCGCACCCAAGCCATTGGGCACGTCGGCGAACTTCAAGTTCGAAGATGGTGCAAGATAGCCCGGGAACTTGAAGTACTCCGGAACAATATATCCAATTGTTGCGAACCTGTCAGCGCAAGTTAGAAGCGCTGAGCCGCCATCTACCTTGACTTGAGCAACGTATGCAAGGCCAAGCTACATGGCGACCCGGCCGTTCTTGATCTCCGACTCTCGGCGGCGACGGAATGTCTCGACGTCTCCATCCTGCGACTGGTTACTAGTGCCCAACTTCTCGTCTGAGAAGTCAGCATGAAAAATACCGCTTGTCATCAGCTAGTCGTATACTTCCAACCCTACCAGGCTTGTCTGCGCTACGAGCTTTCAGCAATCCGTCCGCGCTGTGTGTGGCAGAAGGTTCAGCCCGTCCTTTGAGAGACCCAGCGGATCAAAGTAACCCAGAGGAGCCTTCACGGGACACCAATCTGATGATACGTTCCAACATTCGTGCAACAGCTTTGCTCTTGCAGTGCGCGCGCGCCTGCACCCCGAGCTCGTTCTCGAAGGCTCGCAGCGGGGACTCGGTGTAGTTGGCCCAGTCGCCCCAGGCTGAGCCTTGCTGCAACGGTGCTTGAAAGGCGTTTGAGAG